CCGCGCCGCCGGGCTGCGCCGCTTGTTCGGAGTTCGGAGCTGAGCGCACCGACAGCCAACAGTGTGTGTTGTTGTTTGTTGCTGACTGGCTGACACTCGTCGAGCACACATAACCCAGCGAGCCGCACACGTACGAAGAGGTTAGGACGTTCTGCCGAGATTTCGCTGATTTGATTTCGCCCAGTAGACTATTAAAGAGTGAGTGAAGGGCCGTCTACAATGAAGGTGGAGTGTGGGGAGTAAGGTTTAAAGAGTAGAGTAAGGGAACCGAGGTTAGGATGCTGTCCCGCGAAGTTTTATATGTCCTAGTTTGTCACACCACATCGTGTAGGGGTGCTTCGCGGATGTCCTCGCGAGTCGCCCTCATCGCGAGGCATTCTTTGAGTTGTTGCAAATCGCGACACATCACTTCGCGGGGCGCTCAGGAGTTTCGTCAAACCACCATAGACCTTTTCGACGGTAGGGTGAGAGGGGGGGGGGAGAGGGTAGAGGGGGTGAAAACTTTCATTGCCGGCAACATTTTCACTGAACCCTAATAGCAAATTTTGACTCCGTAGCGCAAAGGAACAAGTCGTCCGTTGTTGCGCTACAAAGTCGAAAATTTCAAAAAGTACAAAGGAAAAAAGTTGCAGCCTCCAAATTGTTTCTAACCTCAACCACTGTCGAAAAGGTCTATTGTACCAGAATACTGAGTTTACGATGGGACTTTTTCGGAACAGACGAAATTAGTGCGGGGCAACGTGCTGGGCCGAACTAATCCCGATTTTGCTTGGTCCTTACGAGCGTGTTCATGATGGCGTTTTAAGGGAGCGGACCAGAACTACGGGTTCCCGGTTTGATGGGAAGGAACGGTGGCGGGAAAAGACACGTTTTCCGGAAGCGTCCCTCCTGTACGGACCGCACTGTCGTTCTGTTTCGTTACTGAACATCGTAAACAACTCTTCGTTCCGTACCCCCCAAAAAAACTGTTCTGTTCCACTAAAATCTCGCGCTATTTTGAAAGCACCAACTACGTCGGAAAACCGCCGCCAAGGGGGGGGGGATAACCGAATCTTGGACGGAAGCTCTTTCGTCCAAGACCGCGTCGCTGAGCTGGTCTCCTGTACATCGTTTAGTAGAGCAGTGGCGGTTCCCATTATTTCTCACATTGCACTGCATACCAGACTGCACACAAACGTTGACCTATCTATGTTCAGGAGAGAGATTGCCCGGCACGGCCGAGCTTGTTCCGCACCACCGTGAAACTACTCCGCTCCGCCAGGGCCACCAGGCGCCACTGACTGCAGCTCCGCGATCACCACCAGCCTGGCCATCATGGAGTGCGACATCTGCACCGAGCAGTTCGACGGCGCCGAGCGGCTGCCCAAGTCCATGCCGTGCGGGCACACGGCCTGCCTGCAGTGCCTGCGGCGGCTGCCCGACTGCAGCTGCCCGACGTGCCGCCGGGTGAGTGTCCTGGGAGTGTTTTGTGCCCTCTCAGCCAGCCCCCTGCCCTCCACTAAGTCCCATCTGTTTTCCCCGCAGGACTTCAACGGCCCACCAGAGGGACTCCCCAATAACTTCACAGTGCTCAAGTTCTTGGAGGGACGCAGACTGGACAGGTGAGCTCGGTCGCGCTGCCCGTCTCGGAGGTTGTGCGCTCGGCGATCGGCAGCCTCATGACTTGACTTGTGTTCGTGCCCTCTCCCCAGCACCCCTATCGTCTGGTGCTCGGACTGCCGCACCGCCGCCACGTCGCTCTGCAAGGACCACGTCCACAATGTAATGCCCACTAGGACAGCTCTGAGGCACCACCTACAGGACGCGCTGCCGCTGGCCGCCGAGCAGCTCCTGACCTTCCAGGACCAGTGCCTAGACGATCAGGTCCTTTCTGCCCTCCTCCTGCTGATGGTCGAGTCCTGGGAGGTGTCGCTGCGGGGCGGCGGCCACGAGCTGACGGGCACCCTGCGTAATAACACCGAGGACCCCTGTATGAAGGTCCTGTGGCTCCTACTGGCGGCACTCACCGAGGTAGGCGACTTAACAACATCCATCCAAGCAAATTGTATTGAAAGGTTGTCATGTTAACACTTCGTACACACGCTAAAATCAGATTTGCTGGATACGTGAAAGGTAGTTAAATTAGCTGTAGCACCCAACTTTTTCGCCATTCTAAGTACTAACCAGCCACTGCGGGTATGGACCTTAGCCGCCAAAACTAGAAAATTAGCTGGCCTAGATAATATTAGTACCTATTACTAATCCAGCTAATACATTAGC